ATATAAGTGAGATAATGTGATATTTGTCTTTCTCTGACTGGTTTATTTTTCTTAGCATAATACTCTCTAGGTCCCCCTATGCTGTCACAAAAGGTAAGAAATCTTTTTTACAGCTGCATCTATTCCACTGTGTAAATGTACCACAGCTTTTTTATCCACCGATCTACCCTTGGGCACTTGGGCTGTTTCCAGATCTTAGTTATTGTAAATAGCACTGTTATAAACATATGGGGCCTATATTCTTTCTGATTGGTGTTTCAGCCTTCTTAGGATATGTTCGTAGAAGTGGGATTGCTGGGTGAAACAGTAGTTTCATGTTTATTTTTATTCATTTATTTTTTGTTAATCCTCACCCAAGGATATTTTTTCCATTGGCTTTTTAGAGAGTGGAAGGGAGGGAGGGAGAGAAAGAGAAGCATTGATTATCTCTTGCACATGCCCCTACTGGGAATGGAGATTGAACCTGAAGCCCAGTCATGTGCCTTTGACTAAGAATCAAACCCACAGCCCTTCATTGCACAAGCCAGTGCTTTAATTACTGAGCCACACTGGCCAGGGTCCATTTAAAAAATTTTTTTATCCTCACCTGAAGACATTTTTTTTTTTTTTTCATTTATCTTCAGATAGAACAGGAAGGAGAGAGGGAGGAAGAGAGAGAGATCGATGTGAGAGAGACACCCACATGACCCCAACCGGGGCCTGGGACAAACTGCAACCGAGGCATGTGCCCCTAGCGGGAACCGAACCCAGGTCTCTGGTCTGTGGGCTGATGCTCTAACCACTGAGAAAATTGACCAGGGCCCATTTTCAAACTTTTGAGTAAATTCTGTACTGTTTTCTATAGTGGCTGCACCAATCTGCATTCCCACCAGCAGTGTACTAGCATTCCCTTTTCTCCACATCCTCACCAGCACTAGTTTGTTGATTTACTCATGGCAGCCATTCTGGCAGGTGTGAGGTGATATCTCATTGTACAGTGATACCTCGGTTCTCGAACGCCTTGACTTTCGACCAAATCGGTATTCGACCAGGAGATTCGAGAAACTTTTGTCTTGGAATCCGAACAAATATTTGGAACTCGAACTTCCGAGATGAGCCGAGTTGAGCCGAATGGCGTTCATGCGGCCCAGCGCGCCTTGCTCGCGTCATCAGTGTGAGTGCAGAGAGAGAGTCACGCTTTGTGGAGAGAGTCACGCTTTACACTGAATTTAACCCTTAGACATACTGTACACTTTTATTTCTTGTTGAGACTTATGTTTTTCTACATATTATATACAAATTAGGCCAGTAAATAGGCATTTTCTGGGGCTTGGAACGAATTAATCCAGTTTCCATTATTTCCTATTGGGTTTCATTGCTTCGGTTCTCGAACAATTTGGTTCTCGACCGTCCTCCTGGAACGAATTATGTTCGAGAACCGAGGTATCACTGTACTTTTCTTTTTGTTGTTCAGATAGAGTAGGAGGGAGAGAAAGGAAGAGAGAGAGAGAGAGAAACATCGACATGAAAGGAACACATCGAGTGGTTGCCACCCACACAACCCAACTAGCCAGGGACAAACTGCATCTGAGGTACATGCCCTTATTTGGAACCAAACCCGGGTCTCTCTGGACTGCAGGCCGATGCTCTAACTGCTGAGCCAAACCAGCCAGGGCCTCATTGTAGTTTTAATCTGCATCTTTCTGATGGTTAGTGATGTTGAGCATTTTTTCATATCTGTTGGCCATCTGTATATCCTCTCTGGAGAAGTGTCTATTCAGGTCCTTTGCCCATTTTTTGATTGGGTTATTTGTCTTCAATTTGTTGAGCTGTATGAGTTCCTTATATAGTTTGGAAATTAACCCCTTATCAGATGTGTCATTGGCAAATATGTTGTCCCATACAGTGGGTTCCCTTTTTATTTTGATTATAATTTCTTTTGCTGTGCAGTTTTTAGTTTGATGTAGTCCCATTTGTTTATTTATTTTTGTTTCTCTTACCCTAAAAAATGTATTGGTGAAAATTCTGCTATGTGAGTCTGGCCGGTGTGGCTCAGTGGTTGAGTGTCAACCCATGCATCAAGAGGTTGCAGGTTCGATTCCTGGTCAGGACACATGCCCAGGTTTTGGGCTTGATCCCCCGTGGGGGGCATGCCAGAGGTGGCCAATCGATATTCTCTCTCATCGACGTTTCTATCTCTCTCTCCCTCTCTCTTCCTCTCTCTGTAAAATCAATAAAGGAAAAAAATTCTGCTATGTGAGATGTCTGAGATTTTGCTGCCTATGTTTTCTTCTAGGATTTTTATGGTTTCATGACTTATATTTAAGTCTTTTATCCATTTTGAGTTTATTCTTGTGTATGATGTAAGCTGGTGGTCTAGTTTCTTTCTTTTTCTTTTTTCTCTTTTCTTTTCTTTCCTTCCTCTCTCTCTCTCTTTCTGCATGTACCTGTCCAATTTTCCCAACACCATTTATTGAAGAGACTGTCTTTACTCCAGTGTATGCTCTTGCCTCCTTTGTCGGATATTAATTGACCATAATGATGTGGGTCGATTTCTGGGGTTTCTCTTTTGTTCTATTGATCCATATGCCTGTTCTTGTGCCAGTACCAGGCTGTTTTGATTACAATGGCTTTGTAGTATAGTTTTATATCTGGTATTGTGATCTATCCAACTTTGTTCTTCTTTCTCAAAATTGCCTGGTCTATTTGGGGTCTTTTTGGTTCTATGAAAAGGTTTGGAATATTTGTTCTATGAAATATACCATTGGTATTTTAATAGGAATTGTATTGAATCTATACATTGCTTTGGGTAATATGGACATTTTAATGATGGCGATACTTCCAATCCATGAACATGTTAGATGCTTCCATTTGTTTGTATCTTTCTCTGTTTTCTTTTTCAATGTCCTGTAGTTTTCCGAGTATAGATCTTTTACCTCCTTGGTTAAGATTATTTCAAGGTATCTTATTTTGTTGTTGTTGTTGCAATGGTAAATGGGATTATTTTTTAGTTTCTCTTTCTGAGAGTTCATTATTGGTGTATAAACATGCCATTGATTTCTGGATGTTGATTTTGTATCCTACTTTGCAGAATTTATATATTAATTCTAGTAGTTTTTAGGCGGAGTCTTTAGGTTTTTCTATGTATACTATCTGTCGTCTGCAAATAATGATAGTTTTACTTCCTCCTTTCCAGTTTGGATGCCTTTGATTTTTTTCTTCTTGTCTAATTGCTGTGGCTAGGACTTTCAGTACTATGTTGAATAAGAGTAGTGAAAGTGGCCCTGGCCAGCGTGGCTCAGTTGTTAGAGTTGGCCTGAGCACCGAAAGGTTGCAGGTTCGATCCCCAGCCCTGGTTGGGGCACGTGTGGGAGGCAACCAATTAATGTGTCTCTCTCACATTGATGTTTCTCTCCCTCTCTCTCTCTTCCCCTTTCCCCATCCTTTCCACTTTCTCTAAAAATCAATGGAAAAAATACCCTTGGGTGAGGACTTACAACAACAAAAAAGAGCAGTGAAAGCAGACATACCTGTTTTGTTCCCGTTCTTAAAGAAAACACGTTTAGTTTTTGCCCATTGAGTATGATGTTGACTATAGGTTTGTCATATATGGCGTTGAGACATGATCCTTCTATTCTCGCTTTGCTGGGAGTTTTTTTTTTTGTTTTTTTTTTAATCTTCACCTTAGGATATTTTTCCATTGATTTTCAGATAGATGGGAGGGAGAGGAACATTAATGTGAGAGAGACACTTTGTTTGGTTGCCTCCCATACAACCCTGACCAGGGCCAGGGATTAACCCACAATCAAGGCATGTTCCCTTGACAGGAATCAAACCTGCAACTCTGGTTTGCAGGCTGATGCTCTAACTGCTGAGCCAAACTTGCCAGGGCTTGCTGAGATTTTTTTATTTAAAAAATGGGTGTTGGATTTTGTCAAATGTTTTTTCTGCATCTATTGATATCTTTTTTTTTTAATCTTCACCCGAGAACATTCTTCCACTTTTGTTCAAATAAAGTGGGAGGAAGAGAGGGAGAAACATCGACATTAAAGGGACATGTTGAGTGGCTGCCGCCTGCATGACCCCCAACCAGGGCTGGGGATGAATTGCAACTGAGGCACGTGCCCTTGATCGGAATCGAACCCTTGACTCATTGGTCCATGGCTGACGCTCTAACCGCTGAACCAAACAGGCTAGGGCGACACAAGAAAAAATTTTTACTTCATAAAATTCTTTTAAAATGGGACGTCTCTGGGAACTTGGATTAGCAGTGATTTCTATGTGCTTTCAGGACCTGTTCAAGAACTTTTTCAGTTGAAAAAAAAACTTCTGTCTACAAAATATATCTGTATGTTTATTTTGAGTGAAACCCTAATTTATATTCTAGAACATCTCTTTTGAGGACAAGTAGATTTTCAAAACCTTGCACGGTCTCCATTTACATGCTAATACAAAAAAAAATTCAACTACATTTAGAATACTATTAGCTAAGATATAGGTGTTTATCACAGCAGGTCCTGTTCTAAGCAGTGCTACTACTGATTTATTTACTCCTGCTAACAAGTCTTCAACTCTACCAGATAAGAGGCAGAAGGGAAGCCCGAGCTGGTCTGAGTCAATGGTTAGAGTGTCGGCCCACAGAGCAAAGGGTTTCGGGTTCAATTCCCGGGTAAGGGCATGTACCTGGGTTGCAGGTTTGATCCCTGATCCTGGGGTCCTGGTCAGGGTCATGTGGGAGACAACCAATTGATATGCCTCCCTCCCACGCTATCTAAAAATCAACAGAAAAATATCCTCAGGTGAAGAGTAACAAAAAAATAAATAAAAGAGAGCCACCCTTTATAAGAAGCAGAGGGGAAAAAAGAGAGTAAGGAAGCTGTCCATAAACATAAGCCATAGTTTAATAACAATAAAGAGTGGTTTTATTGATTTCATAATTTTAGCTATATTAATACATATTATAAACTTTAAGAATTAGAAATAAATGACTTTTTAAACCAAAAAAAATTTAGGTTATGGCAGCGTGTTTAATAATAATTATTTAAGTCTTGCACAGTTATATCTACTTTTCAGATAATCAGGAAGCCATTATCTAACTTTATATTAGGCCACAGTATAGTTACCCCTATACATGCGTTTCATTAAGTAGAAATAAAACATTGTTTCCTTTTTCAGCAAATACTCCCTTTTTGTTATACAGATATATCCTCCCCAAATTAATCTTATTATAATGTACAAAATTTATTTTTTTCCACAGAGCTGCCTCAAGTAACTTTTACCTTGGAAAGCTACGAAGGCATGAGACAGCAAAATGCTACTCTGGACTTTTGTATCTTAAATTTTTCATTTTTACTTAAAGCCCTAATTTATAACACTAAATTAACCACACATTATAATACTTATTTAGCAAAATCTTTTAACACAAACATGGAAAACATAAAAATTTGAGCAAGTATTTGGCAGACTACAGAAAGAAAACAAGATGGTGAGAAATATGATTTAGTGTTTCAAAACTGAAGAGATTGATGAATGTCATTCAAATTTCTCATCTCCTTCTTCCACATCTTTCAGATTGAGCACTTCCAAAGAACCTTTGCCTTTTGTCTCCTTCTGTATTAGCTCATCAATTTCTCTGAAGCAGCCTGGGTCAATTAGACACACCTGAAACATTTCACACAGCTGTTTACCACATGAAGAGGAGCAATACAATAAACACAACTTTATCTTCCTCTGAGACAAACACACAATACTCTCCAGATATCTCTGCTACGATAGCCTACAGTGCAACAAAGATGATGATGCACAGGGCAGCAGACTAGTCCAGCCCCTGCCTTTAAGTATGCAGGGAGACCCCCGTGACAAGGCGTTAATCTCATTTAAAGACTTGGATTCCTCAGCTGTACGACGAAATGGTTGGATTAGAAGACTATGGTCCTTTCCATACAAAAACTCAGCATTCAATTTTATAGTTCTATAAAATCACCTCTTTTTACCCACACCTGAAGGAGAGAAAGAAGCTTGAAGGCCTACATAGAAACCATGTATAAAGATTTGAAAGGATTTTAAAACTTCAAAGGGTGTCAGATGTGTTGTTTCACATCTAAAGTGGAATGCTCAACAGTCCTCTAGATCGCATGTATTTCTAAAGCTGCTGTCAAGTTTAGGGACATGAATTTACAGAAAGCTGAGTTTACACTCTGTCTGAAGCTATGGGGTGAGAACTTGAACAACAAACTGATGAGACTGACCCACTTTTAGTCTTTTATTTCCTCATGATATAAGACTCACTGTAAAATATACTTTCTCACCTAAAATCTGGATAAGTCTTTTTTTTTTTATTTTCTTTTTTTTTTTTTTTTTTTATCCTCACCCGAGGACACTTTTCCATTTTTTGTACAGATAGAATGGGAGGGAGAGAGAGGAAGGGAGAGAGAGTGAGAAACATCGATGTGAAGGGACACATCAAATGGCTGCCACCCGCACGACCAACCAGGGCCCCAGGGCCGGGGACAAACTGCAACCGAGGTACGCGCCCTTAGCAGGAACCGAACCCGGGTCTCTCCGGACCGCAGGCCGGCGCTCCAACCGCTGAGCCAAACCGGCCAGGGCTGGATAAGTCTTTAAATGAGGTTAATGCCCTGTCACACGATCAACATGATTTTATCATAAATAATTTGATTAGAAAACAATAAGAAAATTGTGTGTGCTTAACTACAATTTAGTTCTACTAAGACCTTATTTTTACCTAATTCTTGGTAAGATATTTCTGGAATTATCTTATTGTTCACACTTCCTAAATGTTTGTTACACATTTATGACTAGAGAATAAACTATTTTGGTAACACAGAGGCAGAGAAACGAGTATTTTAATCTTACAATTTCTAATTGTTGACCGTAGTCCTCACTTTCTATAACCTTGATCAGTGACTTGAGCTTTTCTTTCAGCTTTTTTCCTTCATTCACTGGAAGAATTAACCGAAGTCTCATGTGAGCACGTTCTATCTTCATTTTATCCTTTAACTGCTTTATCACTTCCAAAGCCTATCAAGACAAATTAAAAATGTCTGCAATTACCTTGCTGCTTCTACTGCCTTATTTCATAAAATATTCAAAACAAAGCTGTCTCCATCTAGCTAGATTAGGCAATGGTTTCTTAGATATGACATGAGCATAAGCCAACAGACAAAAACTGTTACAGTTCAGTAATAAAGAAACAACCAATTAAAAAGTGGTCAAAGGATTCGAACATTGATTTCTCCAGAGAGACACAGGGTCAATAAGCACATGAAAATATGCTCAAGTCATTTGTCACGAGGGAAATGCAAATAAAAACCAGAATGTTAACCATAGGATGACTATAATAAAAAAGACAGACAACAACAAATATGTTGTCAAGAATATGGAGAAAGTGGAACCCTGTACATTGATTGTGGAAATGTAAAATTCTGGAATATGATTTGTCAATTCCTCAAAAGGTTAAACAGAGTTACCATATGATTTCACAATTTAATTCCTGAATACAGAGAAATAAAAATATGTGTCCACAGAAAACCTGTAACACATTCCATAGCATTATTCACAATAGCTAAAAAGTGGAACCAACCCAAATGTCCATCTACTGGTGAATGAGTAAATAAAATGTGGTATTTCCATATAATGGGATATTATTCAGCCATAAACACGTTAATAAATATTTGTCTGCAAAAACAATATAAGTAGCAAGAATGAAGAACTGATACATGTTCAACATGGATGAATATTGAAAAGGTCACATATTGTATGCTTCCATTTATAGGAAATATCCAGACTAGACAAATCCACAGAGACAGGTCACCAAAGGCTTGTGAGGGGGGTCAAGGAGTGACAGATAATTGGTACAGGGTTTCTTCTCAGGGTAATGTGTTCTCAGGTAGTAGGAAAGGTTACAAAACTTTGTGAATATACCAATGAATTATATACTTTAAAAGGGTAACTTTTATGGCTTGTGAATTATATATAAATTAAAAAAAAACAAAAAAACAAAACTAGCCCAGACAGTGTGGCTCAGTGGACTGAGCATCATCCCATGGACTGAGAGGTCACAGTCTGATTCCTGGTCAAGGCACATGCATGGGTTGCGGGCTTGATCCCTGGTGTAGGGTGTGCAGGGGCCAGCTGATTGATGCTTCTCTCTCACATCGGTGTCTCTCTCTCTCTCCCTTCCTCTCTCTCAAAAAAATAAAACATACTTAAAAAACAAACAAACAAAAAAACTAGCCCTGGCCGGTTTGGCTCAGTGGTTGGAGCATTGGCCTGTGGACCAGAGAGTCCCGGGTTTGGTTCCTGCTAGGGGCACATACCAAACAAACAAACAAACAAACAAAAAAACTAAAAAGTGGAATTACAATGACTCTTTAAAAATTCAAGTTTTATCTTTAAAGGTTTGATTTGGATAGAAAGATGAGAGTCCTATGTATATTTGTTTTTAGTTAAAATTCCATTTTTCCTCTTACAATACACATCCTTTCCTTCCCCTCTCCCCAAAACCTACCCACTTGCTATCAAGTAGTATAATTTTATTATTACAGACCTATTATTTTAATGATTTCTTCAGAGAAATCTAATTTTCATGGATACTTCTGATATTAAAAACCACTAACCTGCTGTTTTGTACTCTTGTTGGTATTGACTGAATAGTGGATGTCCTTCATTGCTCTCTCGATAAGGATAACAGTGTACGGTCTTTTTGTTTCAGGGTTCACACATTTTTCAGCCACAATAGTGGCAATATCTCTAAACATCTGCTCCAGCTGTGTGTGCCGTTCTTTGTCTGATACTTGAACCTCCCCTTTAGTCAAAATCTAAAAAAACCAAAACAACAAATTTAAATGTGATGTCTTTATTACATACTATTTGTTAACTGACTACAAGAATAACTAAGGAGCCCTGGCCGGTTTGGCTCAGCGGTTAGAGCGTCGGCCTGCGGTCCAGAGAGGCCTGGGTTCAGTTCCCGCTAAGAGTGCATACCTCGGTTGCAGTTTGTCCCTGGCCCTGGTTGGCTGTGCGGGTGGCAGTCACTTGATGTGTCCCTTTCACATCAATGTTTCTCTCTCTCTCACCCCCACTCTGTCTGAACAAAAAATGGAAAAATGTCCTCGGGTGAGGATTAAAAAAAAAAAAGAGTAAGGAGAAAATTAAATTCATCCTCTCTAGCTACTGAAATGTAGGTAATAATTTGAACTTTGCCTAAGGAATGCACTGGATTATCTTGTGCTCCAAAATATCACTTATTTAGGATTAGGAGTGGAAAAGGCAATCTTAGCAAAGGCTCTAAATAAATGATGACTACTTGAAAAGGAATTCTATTTTCAGGTATATTACCTTAAAAGTATACAAAGGAAAAAAAGTTTATAAAGGAACAAAATAAGGCAATTTAGTAGAAAATTTAATTTCTAGAGGCTTTGGCAAAAAATATCTATGTCCTAACTGTATGTTGACTTATTGTGGTGATCATTTCATAAGGTATATAAATGTTGAATCACTATGTGGTACACCTGAAAATAATATAATACTGTATGTCGACTATACGTGAGTTAAAAAAATCCATGTTCTGCATTATTAAAAGTGATATTGTGCAGATCAAATTACTGCGTGGTAACTGTTCACTCCAAAAAAATAATACTTAAAGTTTATCATACCTCTAAGAACTTACAGTACAAATGGATATTAATTAGGGTCGGTTATGCTAGGGCTGTTAAAACCTACCTGCTTACAGATTTCAGTCTGGTCATCTGTTCCAAATGCACTGATGAGATCTTCCTTCTTTGCAACCTGACCTTTAGAAACATTTACAAACACTGAGTGGGTCTGTAGAACTTCATCAAGGTCTTTTTCCCTTTTGAGGACGACAGAAAGTCCTAAGTGAACACACTTGAATTGTTAATTCATTCACATTTAATTACGAGATGGAAGATATAAATAGCAAGAAACAACAAATACTCCTAAAAGTTCCTCTGTCGAGGAAACAAAAGAACACACCAAACACCGCATTTGTATTGGCCTTTTCTCTTTGGAGAAAAACGTCGTGCAATGTGTGGGACACTGGCGGGTCTGGGTCTGGGTCTGGGTCTGGGTCTGGCAGCTGCCATTAAAGACCGATCGCTAGATGGCAGCAGTGAGGACACTATGCACTTCGGAGACACTGGGCTGAGATCTGTGACATCAGGTGTACTATAGCTAATATTTGCAAGACCAGGCTCTTTGCCTTTATCATTATTCTGGTCAAAGGACCATAATTATGGAGGTTTCTTAGCGTTAGCCTTTGTGGCAGCATCAGAGCAAACCAAAACCAAACTCCAAACCAACAACCCAGTCGAACTCAAACCTAACAAAAAAGGATGGCTTGGTGTAGGCGCTAAGCTCGGGAAGAACAGCGACTTCTTATGCTCACAGCAGGAAAAAGTTTTTCCTTTCCTTTCCTGACAAGACCCCCCAGAGGTAGACCGCCTCGGAGGCTGCCAGCTCCGGCCAGGGCCCGGAGGGAGAGGGTCACTCACACGCCGCTCCGCCAGCCGATGACTTTGTTTTTGTAGCAGGCGATTTCGAAACGCTTCCCGGCGCGCTTCATGCGTACCACGGCCACATTTGTTAGGCGGATCTGGTTGGTGGGGGTGAAGATCGACATCGTGGCTGCTCACAGTCCTGGGGTCCGACGAACCTCGGCTGACCCGCACCAGCCTGGGAGCCACCGGCGCCTCGCTGTAACGACCAGGCGGCGCGCGGTTCAGGACCGCTCGTGGAACGCGCAGCCTCGCGACTAACTGCCTAACCCGCGGCCACAACACGCTCGGCCGACTGACTTACTACGCAGGAGGCAGGGAGGACCTGTGAAAACCGGACCCGGAAAAGTGAGCAGTAACGCCGGCGCATTGTGGCTCTTACGGCATCGTGCGGCGCCGGAAAATAGAGACACGTTTCCTGAGGTCATAGAATTCCGCCAATGAGCCGAAGAGCTCTGATTAGCTGTTGAAGCTGATGTTTGCAAGTCGGGTGGAAACACTGCACCGATGCCTCGTGGTTCCGCAGAGTTCAGGGCCACCCACACCCACCCTAACCTTTCATTACGGAAAATGTTTTAACATACAAAACAGGGAGAAAAGTGTAATGCAGGCCCATGTACCCATGAACCCGTTTCAATAACTTAGCAGCATTTTGCCATTCTTGCTTCATTCTTCATTTTTTTTGTTGGAGTATTTTTTCCATTTTTTTTTTTTTGTTAAGATAGAGTGGAAGGGAGAGAGAGGGAGAGAAACATCGACGTGAAAGGGACACATCGAGTGGCTGCCACCCGCACAACCCAACTAGGGCCGGGGACAAACTGCAACCGAGGTACGTGCCCTTATCGGGAACCAAACCCGGGTCTGTCTGGACCTCAGGCTGACGCTCTAACCACTGAGCCAAACCGGCCAGGGCTGTTGGAGTATTTTTAAAGCAAATTATGATAAGGTTTAGTTTTAAATTCTTAAGTCTATCCTAAAACACACCAAACATAATTAACATAATTCCTTCTTATCATCTCATAGCCAGTCCCTGATCAAATTTCCCCTACATGATGCCCTTTTAGAATCATTCAACAGAGATCCAAACGGGCCCACAGATTGCATTGGGTCGATGACACCCTTAGCCTCTTCCAACACCCTCTTTCCCCTTTTTTCTTATGCCACTCCCGTTTTGAGTTAGCACTATCATAATTTTATCATGCTGCCACATACTGTATCATTATGGTTATATTTATTTATTATCCTCACCTGAGGACATTTTTGCATTTATCTTCAGATAGAGCAGGAGGGAGAGAGGGAGACATCAATGTGAGAGAGACACATCAAGTGGTTGCCACCCACACGAACCCAACCAGGCGGAAACAAACTGCAACCAAGGTTCGTGCCCTTAGTAGGAACCGAACCCCAGACTCTCTGGTTCGCGGGCCTACGCTCTAACCGCTGAGCCAAACTGGCCAGGGCTATTATATTTATTTTTTAAAATTGATTTTACAGAAAGGATAGAAGAGAGAGAGACAGAGACAGACACAGAGAGGGACAGAGAAACTTCAGTTGCCTCCCGCTCCTCCCGCTCGCGCCCTGACCGGGTGTTTTGACGGGGTTTAACCCCCCGGTCCCTTCCTCCACTGTGCTAACTGGCGAGGGGCCGGAGCTCTTCGACTGGCCCGCCCAGAATTCTGGGCGGTGTTTCTCTTTAGACCCGCCCCTACCCCCCCTGAGCCAATCCGAGCAGGACCAGCAAAGCACCGGCTTCCTCGCCCCGAACACCAGCTGGTGCTCCCCTCTGGACCCGCCTCTTCCCCCTCTGAGCCAATCCCAACGAGCCTGCCAGTGGCATGGCTTCCCTCGGCTCAGCGGTCTCAGGTTGTACAGCTAATGCTGCGAGGTAGTCCCGACAGTCTCCCAGTTCCCAGAGCAGCCGCCAGGTGTTTCAGTCCGCGCTCCTAGTCTCCCGTCGGGCCGCAGAGCCCGAGCTCTGAGCAGAATGGGTAAGGGCCCCCGGCGGACCACGTTCGTGAGGCGGGAGGGGAGAAGCCTGTTTTCCGAGACCCTCTCCGGGCGGAGTGGCGGTCTCAGGACCTTTCAGAGACTTGCACTTGTCAACACGGGTACCGCAGGGGGCAAGGGAAGATTGCTCTTTGCTTTTGCCTTGGCTTTTGCTTCTGACCTCAAGTAAAGGACAGCGAAAACTGACACCCTCCCCCTTACCCACGTGCATTGAGGACCTCGCCGTGGTGCTGCAGCACCTGTGAACATTTTAGGCTTCGTCTTTTGAAATTGACCCCAGGTTTGAGGTCAGGTCCATTTATATGTCCCTTCAAAAAATGGAGTGTGAGGTCAGTTATTTAAGAAACCTTTACAAGGAGCCATGGGTCTTTAAAAATGAAATTAGAAAAAATGGAATAGTTTCAGTACTCTTGAAAACTTTTCCTATGGAGCAAGCATAACAAAGCGAAATTAACTCCACCTAAAGTATTTTGACTCTCTTCTCTTCTTTTAGTTCCCAATGTTATATCCAAATAAAGATTATATATATATAAAAAATACACACACATAGACACACATATACACACATATATATATTTGAGTGAACATTATAATTTTATGTTGCCACATAATGTAGTTACTGTTATGTTTATTTTTAAAAATTGATTTTAAAGGGAGGAAGTAAGAGAGAGAGAGAGAAACATAAGTTGCCTTCCGCACCTCCCTCAGGCGCCCGACTGGGAATGGAACCCGCACCTTTTTGATGTATGGGAGGAGGCTCCAACCAACTAGGCCACACCGGCCAGGGCATGTATTATTTTTATTAGAGTTGATTTTCTATAGATTTCTTAGCCTTGTTGTTGAGTATGGAGGTTGGTTTTATTTTTTCATTCTTTAAAATGAGGGTGGACTTTGATATGTAGCTTTAAATAAAATTACATATAGGTATCATTTTAAATTTAGATCCTTCTTTGGATACATGGGACTTCTCACCTTTAATACCATTATGGATAAACAGATACTACATATATTTGGGCTTTGCCCTTGGTATTAGCCTTTGGATTTGTTTCCAGATTGTCATCAGGAAGCAGGTAAGTGGAATTATTTTTTTATAGGAGAATATTAAGGCATCAGATTTTATACAGAATTTAGAGTGCAGATTTTCTAAGGCATTCAGAAAAATGCAGAAAAACTAAAAGGAACTTTAGGTCGCTTTTATGTTTAGTATTTAGTCATTTTTTAATGCCTAAAAAAGTTTAGTTTCAGTTTTTACAGGCTAAGTTATATATATTTAAAATTTTTTTCCCCTTTATTAATGTTTAGAGAGAGAGGAAGGGAGATGGAGAGAGATAGAAATGAGAGGGGGCCTCCTGCATGCCTCCCACTGTGGATTGGGCCCACCACTGGACATGTGCCCTGACCAGGAATAGAACTGGCGACCTCTTGGTGCATGAGTCGTTGCTCAACCACTGAGCCACACCAGTTGGGCTAAATTATTTTTTTGAAATATGTTTTTATTGTTTTTTTTTAGAGAGAGGAAGGGGGAGAGAGAAACATCAATGAGAGAGAAACATCGATTGGCTCCCTCCTGCATGCCCCTCACTGGGGATGGAGCCTACAACCCCAGCACATGCCCTGAAGGGGGATCAACCAGGACCTCTCAGTCCATGGCACAACGCTCAATCCACTGAGCCACATTGGCTGGGCTACAGGCTAAGTTATTATGGACCAAGTTATATTTACCTTTTATTTGATGAGCTGTGAATGTCTCATTCGTAAGATACAGGGAAATTTTGTAATGAAAAATTAAACTTTTATAAAAAACCAAATTTGTTTTGCATCTTTAAGGAGGTAGTAGTCTCTTTTGCTTTTCTACTAATTAAGGATCAAAAAATAAGTTTCTATTTTATCTCACTCAAATACTTTATGAATGAAAATATGTATAGTTTTATCTTTGAATAATACTTTCATCCATATGATACTATAAGGGGAATCGTTATGGTCTTAAGAAATGTGTGTCCTGCCTTTTAAGGACCTAATTGTACCAAGGGGTTAGTATTTGAGGACTACAGCCAGAAAGATTAAGAGAATAATAAAATGCATCAGTATCTGTGCTAATTTTCATTCTTGCTGAAGTTGGGAAAAGATTCAAACTTGATGGATTTGTGCAGTCGTTTATCTTCAAAGGCAAGAACTCACAGGAAAGATCGATTCCAAAAGCAACTCGGGATTTGATGACAGATGGTTATATCTCTCTTCACAAAAAGGAAGACTTTGTGTCTGGAGTGAAGATTTTCTATGGTTCCCAGACTGGTACAGCAAAGGTAAGAACTTTTTATGACACTTTTCCTTGGATTTCCTGATTTTTTTTTTTTTTTTTAACCCTCACCAGAGGATATTTTTCTGTTTATCTTCAGATAGATTGGGAGAGAGAGGGAAAGAAGGGGAGAGAGAGAGAAACATCGATGTGAGAGGGACACATCAACCGGTTGCCTCCCGCATGACCCCGGCCAGGGCTGGGGGCAAACCGCCACCGAGGTATATGCTCTTGGCCAGAATCAAACCCTCGACCCATTGGTCTGCGGGCCAATGCTCTACCGCTGAGCCAAACTGGCCAGGGCTGGATTTCCTGATCTTTTAGGTAAATCCCTAAAAAGTATCTTTTAGCAGTGATCTGAATTGGTCTTACAGTTTTCTTTCATCTTTTCTCCCTTTTCCAGCATCCTTTTTCTTTCTGGGATGGTAGGTAGGTTTTATCTCTTGTGCCCAATTCCAGTTGACTGGTGGTGTCCAGTGGTCACTGTCATGCTTGTGTCTCAGCAAATGGAAAGGGTTGCAAGTCCATTATTGATGCCTGTTGGTGTTGAAGTAGGAAATTGTGAAAAGAGAATGGCAGCACTAGTGTTCAGTATGGGCCCTGAATTTCACAACTTCACACATCTATTTAATTAAATGTATTTTGATTTCTAATAGTGTTAAAAGTATTAAAATATGATAGACATGGAATGCTGTTTAAAGTTCATACACTGCAGATATGTAGCTGAAGGATGCTTTCCATTCTTTAATTGTATATAGATGCTGCCTACTTCCTTTTTGTGAAGGTCACAGGTATTTAGTGCTTTCTAGGAAAGGATTCTAAGGCTGACATGAAAATGGATTTTAAAAGCTAAAGTGTCCATGATTTTTGTATGGTTGTTGTACAAAAGAGGGTTCTACTGCCCTCTTGTGGGTATTTTGCAGAATAATACTTTTTAGTTTTTCAGTACTCCAGAGCAGGTATAGTACAGATACTTTGTTCCACATTCTAGTTAAAGGTCACTTACAAATTCAGCTTTAAGCAGCAGAGCTGGGAGACAGAAAGAAACGTAAAAACTGAAAGAAACTGAGCAACCAAAACAAAGTGCTTTTATGTTACTCAAAAAGATCTTAATTTAGCCCTGGCCGGTTTGGCTCTGCGGTTGGAGCATCTGCGGTTGGAGCATCGGCCCGTGGACCAGAGAGTCCCGGGTTCGGTTCCCACTAGGGGCATGTACCAAAAAAAAAAAAAAAGATCTTAATTCATAGCCTCCTTTATGAATGTTTAAAATTCTTTAAAGATTAAATTAATTCTTGCAGATGGCACCAGATCCAGGCATAGAGTTCATAATGAAAAGTACTCTCCAGAGAATCTCTTAACTATTTTATTTTAGTTCCTCTGATGGTTATTTCTTTAACCTTCTTGTGCTATGTTTCTTTCTTTTTTTTTTTTTAATCCTCACCTGAGGATATTTTTCATTTTTTTTTCAGGTAGAGTGGGAGGGAGAGAGAGGAACAAAGAGAGAGAGAGAGAGAGAGAGAGAGAGAGAGAGAGAGAGAAACATCGATGTGAAAGGGACACATCGAGTGGCTGCCACCCGCTCGACCAACCAGGGCCAGGGACAAACTGCAACTGAGGTACGCACCCTTAGCGGGAACCGAACCCGGGTCTCTCTGGACCGCAGGCCGACGCTCTAACCGCTGAGCCAAACTGGCCAGGGCACTTTTTTTTATTTATTTTTATTATGTTTCTAGATTTATCAATTTTAGATAAAAGTTGATTCCTGCCCTGACTGGTTTGGCTCAGTGGTTAGAGTGTTGGCCTGTGGACCAATGAATCCTGGGTTCGATTCTGGTCAAGGGCATGTGCCTTGGTTGTGGTTTATCCCTGGCCCTGGTCAGGTTGAGCGGGAGGCAACCAGTTGATGTGTCTCTCTCACATTGATGTTTCTCTCTCACCCCCTCTATCCCTCCCTCCCACTCTATCTGATGATAGAAAAAAAAAGTTATTGGTTCCTCATATCAGTCAGTTCATACAAACATTCCTCAGATCTCAGTTAATATTGTTATCCACATCATAGTTGGTATGAGTTAGATGGCCCTTCTTAAAGCTATGCCACCTAAATTTTCTTTATTCTGCTTTCACATTTGATTGATCCATATTTGACTGGGTATAGAGGACTAGGTCGACTTTTTTTTTTTTACATCTTTGAAGGCATCATCACTTCATTGTTTTCTAGCAGTCAGTATTGCTGATGAGAAGGCTAATATAATACCTCATTCCTTTATAGATGACTTGATTTTTTTTGTTCCCGGAAGCCTTTAGAATTAACGCTTTGCCCTTGATATTTGGAACTTTTATGAGATTATATCTAGGTTGGATCTTTTTTCAGCCATTATGCTGGACTCTTGGGCTCTTGAGCTTTGAAGATTTGTTTACATTAATTCTGCTAATATTTCTTGGGTGAATTTTTTTCTGTTTCATTTTTGCAGGTCTAACTGTTGTTGGTTGGATGTTGGAGCTTTTGGATGTTCTTCTATGTCTCAAACCTTTTCTCTCATACTTTTTTGTAACTTTTTCTTTTCATTCTGGGTTCTCAGATTTTAATTTCAAATCTTTTTTGAATGTTTTATTTTAACTATTTATTTACAAAAATGCCATTTTGCTCAATTTTTATAACATTTTGTTCATAACTTAACTATATATAACATTTTGTTCATAACTTAACTATATATGTATATGTGTGTGTGTATATATCTCTATCTCTATCTCTCTCTATCTCTATCTCTATCTCTATCTCTATCTCTATCTCTATCTCTATCTCTATCTCTATCTCTATATTTGTGTTGTAAATCCTCACCCGAGGATATTTTCCCATTGATTTTTAGAAAGAGTGGAAAGGAGGGAGGGAGGGAAGGGGGGAGAGAGAGAGAGAGAGAAAGAGAAGCATTGATGTGAGAAAGACATATTGATTAACCTCCTTCAAGCGCCCTGACTAGGGCTGAGGATTGAACCTGCAACCCAGGTTCGTGCCCTTGACTGAGAATCAAACCATGACCCTTTAGTGAGCAAGCCATTGCTCTAACCACTGTGTGACACCAATCAGGGCTAGTATTTGTGTTTTTGATGACAAATGTCAGTCACTGAAAAAGTTTTTCATGAGAAATGCCTCATTCTCTTGCCAACAGGGGTAAATGAAGACAGTATTTTGCTTATTTAGCTTATTGAAGACTGTGATTTTTTTTTTTTTCTTATTAGGAATTTGCAACAATTCTTGCCGAAGCTGTTACCTCCCTGCACCTGCCTGTGACAATTATTAATCTGAAAGAATATGATCCAGATGATAATCTAGTAGAAGAGGTTGGTAATTGTCTTATTTATTTTCTTCAGTCAAGATTCAAATTTAATGGATCTCCTGTGTTCTGGAATAAATAGAATCTTCAGAATAAATTTAATTTTCATGCTGAGGAATCTCAGTTGGTTGAGATTTCAGTGCTAGTTGGAGGTGTTGAGTGTGTGGTGTGTGGTGTGGTACACTGATTCTGAAGTGGTGTGGAGCCTGGGGCAGGGGCAAAGGTGGGTGGTTTGAAGTTCCCAATGCCCTCCTGATTGGAATCTCATAATCAAGGAGGATTGTTATTGATGACAGTGTGCTGTGCGTGTGGACCATGTGGAAGCCTACTGATAGGTCAGGAGCCCTTTGGGTAGCAGAAGAAGTGTGGACTTAGGAGTTAGAGAAATCTCTTACTAGTTGTGTGACCTTTCTGCATTGCTTAATGTCTATGAGAGTTCAGTTTCATCTGAGACGTGCCCCTCGCACTCCTCTAGTCCTACCCAGTTAGGGAAGTTTGCCTTACAGTAAGTGTTCTCAAAGTGTAGCCCTTGAACCAGCAGTTTCAGCATCTCCTGGGGACTTGGTATAAATGCAGATTCGTAGGTCCTAGCCCAGCTCCGCTGACTCAAAGTCTGGATGTAGGACTGTTTAAACAAAGGCCCCAGGTGATTCTGAAGCAGCTAGAGTTGGAGAAGGGCTTAGAGCATGGGTGAACAAACTTTTTCTGTAAAGAGCCAGATAGTAAACATCTTCAGCTTTGTGGACCTTGCAGCCACGGATCTGCCTTTGAGGTGTAAAACAGCCATAGGCAATATGGAAATGAATGAGTGTGGCTGTGTTCCAATAAAACTTTATTGACTAAAACAGGTAGTGGGTTGGATTGGGCCTGTAGGCTATAGTTTACCAGCCCCTTCTTAGTAATATAAACTTCCACTGTAATTGTGCCATTTTTTTTTTTCTCCTCCAAGAAAACACTGGAGTGCAAATGAGTGAGCTTGACTCGGTGCTAAATTATTTGTGAAAAGTTATTAGTAAATTTGGATACTTAATAATTAGTAAGGGATTACTTATAACTTACGTGATGACTTGGAACTGTTAAAAGAAACAGTCAAGCAGATGAAATGCTGTGACTAGCAGACTGAAGATGTATTTTATTTCCCTATGTACATGATGGTACCAGGTTATTACTTTATGTTTAAGAAGTTTTTTTGCTTTAATTTTTCAGGTAATTTTTTAGAGATCTTAGTGTGTTTTTCTGATTAACTTGCATTTTGATTCCAATGTGACAATTTGGAGATGATAGGGATTGAGAGTCTGAGAGATGGAAGGAGTAGATGGTGAAGGGCACCAGGAGGTATAATGGCAAGGGACCAGGTTTTCTCCCCTGTGCAAGTTGTCCTTGCTATTTTCCTTCACCTTTGAAAAAGATTAATGTTTGTGAAAGCACCCTTTGTTCTCAGAAAGTAGTATGATAGGAATGTCAATATTTCAAAAAGGGGTTTCTTCTTGAATATTCTTCTGAAATAATTACTGTCTTGGTTAGGTCACTAGTAAAATTGTTTGTGCCTTCCTGGTTGCTACATACACTGATGGTCGACCAACCGAGAGTGCAGAGTGGTTCTGCAAATGGTTAGAGGAAGCATCCAATGATTTTCGATTTGGCAAAACTTACCTAAAGGGTATGAGATATGCGGTGTTTGGCCTGGGAAATTCTGCCTATGCAAGCCACTTCAACAAGGTAGGTACAAGGTAGATATATGTTGAATTATAGGGATAAATTATCTTCATTTAAAAAAAATTAACACACACACATACATATGTACATGTGAAATAATCCACAGATTTTTGGTACTTAATAATAAACTTACTGTGTTATTCTTTATATCTGGGAGTTGCTACACATATATATCCAATCTTGGTGTATTGTAGGCTCTCAGTAAATTTTTATTGAATAAAATAAATGCAAATGCCTCCTATTGTCTAGTGTCTTAGAAGCCTGAGTTCATAGACTTTGAGTTCAGCCTTCTGTTCCCAAGCAGGACCTTGTGAGTGGAATATCACTGACTCTTTGGACTTTCTTAACTGCCTGTTCTGTTGTTGAATAACCTTTATTGCCCAAACTAACTTTTTTTTATCCTCACCCGAGGACATTTTTTCGTTTTTTGTTCAGATAGAGTGGGAGGGAGAGAGAGGAAGAGAGAGAGAAACATCGATGCGAAAGGGACACATCGAGTGGTTGCCACCTGCACAACCCAACCAGGGCCGGGGACAAACTGCAACCGAGGTATGTGCCCTTAGCGGGAACCGAACCCGGGTCTCTCTGGACCACAGGCCGACACTCTAACCGCTGAGCCAAACAGGCCAGGGCCCAAACTAACTTTTTTTAAAAAAATGTTTTTATTGATTTTAGAGAAAAAGGGAGAGGGAGAGAGAGATAGAAGCATTGATGAGAGATCAGTATCAACATTGATCAGATCAAGCCTGCAAACTGGGCATGTGCCCTGACTGGGAATTGAACCGGGACCTCTCAGTCCATGGGATGATGCTCAATCCACTGAGCCACACTGGGTGGGCTTGAGCTAACTTTTAATATAGTTGAACTCATTGTCTTTTAATCATTAATTTTTAAAGGGCAATAGAAGAAAAACATTCACTCCCTTTATCTAATAAAACATTAATTGTATTGTTTTCCTGGATTTAAAAAAAATGAAATCAACTTGACTCCTTTTCTTTTGCAGTCTATTCTCTATACTTTAAAAAATTGGAGCCTTCTCAGTTCCTTATTGGTTCTAAAAGTTGCTAAAAACTTTTGTGTGGGTACCTTTCCCTAGATATGGGCCCAGCCTGGCTCACCTCTCTGGTAGAACGTGACTAAAGTTGAGAGTGGAGAACTTCCTTTAAAATTGTTTTCATTCAATCATTACATCAAGATGTATATTTCACCCATATTTTCAAAGGGATTAGATTAAGAATGGTAAAATTCAGATATGTAAATATTTTGTTTAATGCCTTGCCACTCAGGAAGTCTGTTAAGATTTTAAACTCTTAGCTATGCTTCTTGGTAACCCCTGTTCCTCAGCTTCATCGCTTGATATTGCAATGAACTACATTTCTGAGTTTATGAAATTATGAGTCTTGCCAAATGGACTCCATTGCACTTTATTATTAAATGGGCTTTGGCCCCATAGGCTTTGTTACATTTTGGAAAAAATTTGTTTTCTAATGATTTATTTTATTCTGACATTATTTAGAAGAGTGGTTTTCAAATTCTTATTTTATTTATTTTTATCCTCACCTGAGGACATTTTTCGTTCAGATACAGTGGGAGGGAGAGAGAGGAAGAGGGAGAGAGAGAAACATCGATGTGAAAGGGACACATCGAGTGGCTGCCTCCCGTATGACCCAACCAGGGCTGGGGACAAACTACAACCGAGGTATGTGCCCTTTGCGGGAACCAAACCTGGGTTTCTCTGACCGCAGGCCGACACTCTAACCGCTGAGTCAAACTGGCCAGGGCTTCAAATTATTTTTAAAGCATTAACCCTTAGTTTAATAAAATGGTTTATTTGTCTCTTTGTTAAAAAAATCTTTTGCAGAGTCTTATCATAATGTATCAACTGCAGTCCTTGTGGGTTGTGGCTGGGGCCAGAGGGCTTGAAGCCCTTTTGGCTAAGCAGTTCCCTCTTCCCAGTGGCAGCAGGGGTCCCACAGTTACTCTAGGTTTTTGCAAAGCAGTCTACACACCTCTGATTTAGACTGTTTTTTAGCTCATCTATCTATTTTTCTTACAGGTGGGCAAGAATGTTGATAAGTGGCTATGGATGCTTGGTGCTCATCGCGTGATGACTCGAGGGGAGGGTGACTGCAATGTGGTTAAAAGCAAACACGGCAGCATTGAAGCTGACTTCAGAGCTTGGAAGAGCAAGTTCATCTCCCAGCTCCAGGTGCTTCATCAAGGAGAGAAGAAATCCTGTGATGGCAATTGCAGAAAAGGCAAATGTGAATCTAGTCAGCACGGCTCAGAGGAAATGGAGCCAGGGTCTCATACCAAGGACAGATCGCATCAGAGAGACCCTGAGGTATGTAGCCTGTGTGTCCATGTCTCTCTGCTTTCCTCCTGTGTTTGGAGATGCCGAACCTTACCTCTGCCCTGCGAAACGATTTCATTGGCTTCTGGAAGATCTGAAACCCATGTGGGGGTGTTTTAGAGAGTGCAGTCTTAGGAGTTAAGCCATGTTGTGCTAGATGCTTTCCTGTGTCTCTTGTGTAATCACTGTATTGCTAGAGTCAAATAGATTTCTACCACAATTTGCAGGTTAGGAAACAGAAGCCAGAGAAGTTAAATATGTCCCGGGCTGAGCTTATATCTTTTTTTCTTTATTGTTTTTTTTTTTTTTGAGAGAGAGGGAGAGAGAGATAGAAACACCGATGAGAGTGAACATTAATTGGCTGTCTCCTGCATGCCCCACACTGGGGATTTGACCCATAATCTGGGCATGTGCCCTGACCAGAAATTGAACTGTTGACCTCTTGGTGCATGGGTCAATACTCAACCACTAAGCCATACTGGCTGGGCTGAACTCATATCTTTTTATCACCAAACCACATCTTCTTCCTTACCTCTCTTAATGACTGTTAATCACTTCAACTTAAAGGCTGCAAGTCATCCTAGATTCATCTCTTTGATCCCTCACATTCTAAACATTTCTCTTTTTTCTTTCTTCACATACCTCAGAGTACCTTTGAGGGTCCTGTCTTCAGGCTGTATCACACTATTGTGCTTTGGCCACCTGGTCACTTGTGTCACTCAGCAGAAACTTCACATTCTGACTCACTGTCTTACTGTCCACCCTTATTCCCATCATTATTCTTCATGGCTAAGTCATGCATGTTGATGATTTACCTAGTACCCTGGTCAGCCAGTTTCCTGGCCTTCAAACTTTCAGTAACCATTTTCTTCACTGACTGGCCTCTCACTTCCATGGGCGGCTCTGAAATTGCATGTTCTTGTGACCCCCAACTCGAACCTCCTTCTGGGTGCTCCTGCTTTAAAATTCTCTTGATCCCATACCTTTTTCACTGCACAGTGAAAACTGCTTACGTTACTTCTGTCCTTACCCAGTTCAGATTTTATACTCATTCTTTTATAAACATCTTCAATTGCCTTGCCTCCACTCCATTTTACAACACAACTGGCTGAACTCCAAGCCAGGTTGAAACCTGCTGTCTGCCTTCTCCGTTGCCTGCTGCTTGCTGTTTGATCACAGATTCAATTATGAATTCAGAACTCCTCAGTAGTCTCCGACATTCTGTGGTAACTTCCCTTTCTCACTCTCCAAGCTGACTGTTTAATACCTCTTTCTTCCTGTCCCTTCCTCCAGCTTTCATATAAAGCCATCAGAGGAGAATTCTCATAGAGCCCCTGCCCCATCTGCAAATATTCACCATCCTTTCTGTCCTGGAAGAAAGGACCTGGTTCTGTCAAAGACCACTTTCTGTGCATTCTCTGGAGCCAAGGGCTTTGGCTCCTTTGTTTATTTTTTTATATTTTATTATTTTTTTTATCCTCACCCGAGGACATTTTTCCACTTTTTGTTCAGATGGAGTGGGGGGGGTGGAGAGAGGGAGAGAGAGAGAGAGAAACATCGACGTGAAGGGACACATCGAGTGGCTGCCACTAGCATGACCAACCAGGGCTGGGGACAAACTGCAACCGAGGTACGTGCCCTTAGCGGGAACCGAACCCGGGTTTCTCTGTACCACAGGCCGATGTTCCAACCGCTGAGCCAAACCGGCCAGGGCTGGCTCCTTTGTTTATTGCATCTGTCTCCTGCACGGTTAATCTTTTCCTCTCTACTAAGTAGTTCCCATAAATATATAAACATCCTCTGGAATCACCATATTTAAACAAACACAAAAAGCAAGTAAAAAACAAATCTTTCCTTTGTTCTCTTTCAGCTACTGTTTCATTTTTTTCTGTTCTCTTTTTCTAGCTAATCTTTTTGCTTATTTTTCTCTTCATTTCACTTTTAATATGTTTAAAAACTTATAATGAGGTAAAAAATAATGAGGTAAAATTCACATAAGAAAATTAACATTTAAAAGTATATAATCCAGGGCTATTTAGTGCATTCACAATTTTGTGCAACCACTGCCTAATATCAAGTTCCAAAACCTTTTCATCATCTTAGTAAACACCACCACCAGCTCAGTTACTTATAAAAAAAAAAATCTAAGAGTCATACTTGATTTCTTACTTTTTCTCATAAAGTCTGGTGGGTTCCTTGTCTAAAACAGTGGTCAGGAAACTTTTCCTTTAACAGACCAGCTTGTAATATTTTCAACTTTGTGTGCCATGTGATTTCTGTTGCAACTATCAGTGCTGCCATTGTATCAAGAAAGTAGCCACAGATAACATGTAAATGATAGGCACTTTCAGATTTGACCCAAGACTGGCTGCATTTGGCCTGTGGGGCCTAGTTTTCTGACCTCTAGCCAAAACTATTTGATATCCATCTGGTGGCTTCAGAATTTGTGAGGGGGTGTTAGATGGTTGGCTTCTCTGAACAATGTATTTCTAAAACATTGATGTTCCAGGAGGAGGAGGAGCCCTTTGAGAGTTCCAGTGAGGAAGAATCTGGTACTGAGGACCACCAGAGTCTGACTTCTGTTGTTGATGTTGAGGACCTTGGCAAAATTATGAATCTTGTGAAGAAAGAAAAGGTACTGTAATTTTGGGAAATAATGAACTTAGATCCTGCAGTGGGTTAATATCTAGCATTCTGTATTGGTGTGTAGTCCATCTGAGCTCATAATTGGACAGTTTATTTGCCTCCTGTCTTGAGAATTTTCTACTTTTTTGCTACTTTTACATGAGCTTTGTGAATGTCTTTCCTCTTGGTCCTGTGAAAATGAGCTCATAGTAGGGTAGGCAGAAGATTTTAGGACAAGAACTGAGGAAAGGCTAGATGGTAGAAGGGACTTCATTCATTGCATAGCTGAAGATGACAGGATGATAGCACGGTAAGATTGATTAGTGTTAAGATTTCAAGTGGAACTCTTGTGTAAAGTTGCTTCCTGTCTTACAGACTGAGTGTGTCGGGCTTAGGAATGTAAGCTTGAGTGTGATGGCAGCTTGGTCTGTAGGTGTTGAGATCAGCGTGGGTGGAGGCCTTAGAATCCAGGAAATGTTAGTCTGAGTGGCTGTCTCAGTGACTAAATGAATGTGAGAATGTACAGTGCAGTAGGATTTTGTGCAGATTCCAGTGATCTAAAATTGAAATAACATATACAATTATATAAAAATACAAAGTCTCAACTTATGTGTCAGTTTTGGGAAATGAGAATATTCTAAACTAAAAATGTATCTGGTGCATAAGTCTTAGAAACAAAATAAGTAAAACTATGGAAAAATCCAAGAAAATCAATCACAAAATTAACACAAACTCAAATGAAAAGATTTAGTAAGGTAGCAGGATATAATAAGGTAAAAAGTTGCCCTGGCCAGTTTGGCTCAGTGGTTAGAGTGTTGGCCCGCGGAGCAGAGAGTCCCAGGTTTGGTTCACGCTAAGAGCATGTACTTTGGTTACAGTTTGTCCCCAGCCCTGGTTGGGGTTGTGTGGATGGAAGCCAGTTGATGTGTCTTTCTCATATCAATGTTTCTCTCTTTTCCCCATCCTTTCTCCCTCCCGTTCTATCTGAAGATAAATACAAAAATGCCCTTGGGTGAGGATAAAATAAAATAAAATAAAATAAAGTAAAAAGTTAAAAAGCTTTTGTACGTCCAAGCAATAACCATTTGGAAGCTGTCATGGAAGAAAAAACCTCATTTACAACAGCCACATAAAGAAGAAATAACTACATAGAAGTGCATCTAGAAAGAAATACCCTAAATATATGTGAGAAAAACTTCAAAACATTTCTGAAAGATATAACAGTACCCTGAACAAATTGAAAGACATTCTTGTTTTTAGATACGGTGACTCAGTATTGCAAAAATGTCAGTTCTTTTAAGTTAATACATAAATTTGATGCAATCCATTAAAAATTCTAATAAAGTTTTTTTCTGGAGCTAGATTGGTTGATTCATATGGCAAAATAAACATATAAGAATGCTAGGAATGAAGAAGAAAAAAGATGGTGGCAGGCAGGACCGGACAAGGGTTAGTGTGTGAGAGTGAGCAACTGTGAGAGAGAGTGGATGTGAGTGTGGATGAGCAACCTCGAGCAGTGCAGAAACGTGGGGCAGAGGGTTCCTGTGCTGTGGATGGGGAGCAGCCAGCTACCTCGGTAAGCGGCTTGCCAGGGCGCTTGTCCTTGCGTGGCCAGAAGGCCCTGCCATTTTGGAAGATCCCTCGGTCTTCTCTGGGAGGAGGCAGTGGGGAGTAGCTAGCGGTGAGCGACCTGAGTTCCCTAGTGCACCTTACACCATTGGAGCAGTGGACCCCACGGTGTCAGCGCAGACCAGTGCACAGTAGTAGCACTGTCAAGGTGCCTGCTGTGGAAGCTGCAACCAGCTGGGAGCCGAGCACCATCCCCCACAGCAGCAGCCTGATTGGAGTGGAGCACCACCCCCAGCAACAGTAGTGCCAGTTTGGGAGCCCAGCACCTTTCCCCACAACAGCAGTGACTGGGTGGGACTGGAGCCCCACCTTCAACAGCAGCTGAGGCTCAGGAGCCAAGAAACACCCCCAGCAGCAGAGGCTTGAGAACGGACTTCCATCCCCAGGCAGCAGCAGCACAGATCAACAGCTGAGACCCATCCCCAGCAGCATCAGTAGAGGCTGATCAGGAGTGATGCCCCAGAACAAGCAGCAGCAAGGCTCTGGCAGCCAAGACCTGCACCTGACAACTGCAGCAGCAGATTTGGAGTGGAGCCCCTCCCCCAGCGGCAGCAAAGTCCTGGGAGCTGTGCGTCTTTAGTCCCCAACAGCAGCAGAGGATTGGGAGCTGAGAGCACCCCCTGGCAACAGCAGCAGCATAGCAGCGCAAACCTGCTGTGGAAGCTGCTGACACTCAGCCCCAGTAGCATCAGCAGTGACTGATCAGGAGCTGAGTCCCATCAGGCAGCAGTGCACCCCTGTAGGGCAGCAGGACCCACACATCTCAGCAGCGCACCAGCTGGACCCACGTATCCCTGAAGCACACCAGCTGGACCCACGTACCCCAGCAGTGCCTACCACAACAGACCAATACCAGCCGCAAGTGGTCAATCCGCCAGGACCCACAGCAGGCAAGAGGCACCACACACCAGAACAGTCTGGGAGGCACAGCAGCCTTATTTGATACACACTGACCTGCCTACACATCCCAACATCTCTTACTAGGCCTGGAACTACCAGACTGCTAAAATGGGGAGACAAAGAAACAACACCCAAATGAAAGAAAAGGAAGAATCACCAGAAAGGAAACTACATGAAATAGAAGCAAGCAATTTGTCATATAAAGAATTCAAGCAATGATTTTAAGGGTGCTCAAACAATTTAGTGAGAACTACAAGCAATTTAATGAGAATTATAAAGAGCTCAGTGGGAACTACATCAGCATAAAAAAAGAGGTAGAAGCTATGAATAAAATCAAGTGGAAATAAAGAATGTTATGAAAAATACCTTAGAAGGTCTCAATAGTAGAATGGAAGAAGTTGAAGACCGAATCAGTGAGTTAGAAGACCAGGTAGAAAAAAACACCCAAATAGAGCAGCAAATGGAAAAAACATTAAAAAGTAGGAGGAGAATTTAAGGGAGCTTTGGGACAATACAAAACAACAACATTCGCATCATAGAGCTACCAGGAGGGGAAGAATCAGAGAAAGGAATAGAGAACCTGTTTGAAGAAATAATGACAGAAAACTTCCCTAAACTGGTGAAGGAAGTCACACAAGTCCAGGAAACACAGTCCCAAGCAAGATGAACCCCAAAAGACCCACAACTAGACACATCATAATAAAAATGGCAAACATTAAATATAAAGAAAGAATCTTAAAGGAAGCAAGAGAGAGACAGAAAGTTACCTACAAGGGAGCTCCCATTAGACTGTCAGCTGGATTCTCAATAGAAACACTGCAGACCAGAAGGGAGTGGCATGAAGTATACAAAGTAATGAAAGGCAAGGGTCTGAATTCAAGACTACTTTATTCACCAAAGGTCATTCAAAATTGAAGGTGGAATGGAGAGCTTCACAGACAAAAAAAAAGCTAAAGGAATTTACCACCACCAAACCAGCACTGCAAGAAATGTTAAAGGGACTGTTGTAAGAAGAAGAAGAAATAGAGAGAGAGAGAGAGAGGTGGGGGGGTGGAGAACACAGGCATAAAATAAAAATGGCAGCTCATAAGTATCTATCAATAATAACCTTAAATGTAAATGACTTGAATGCTCCAATCAAAAGACATAGCGTGGCTGATAAGAAAACATGACCCATATATATGCTGTCTACAAGAGACCCATCTCACAACAAAAGACTCACACAAGATGAAAGTGAAGGGATGGAAAAAATATTTCCTGGCAAATGGAAATGAAAAAAAAGCTGGTGTAGCAATACTCATATCTGATAAGATAGACTTCAAAACGAGGGCTATAATAAGAGGCAAAGAAGGTCACTACATAATATTAAAGGGATCAATTCAACAAGAGGATAAAATCCTGGTAAACATATATGCACCAAATATAGGAGCACCAAAATATATTTAAAAACTTCTGGAGGACTTCATGGGAGAGATCAATAGCAATACAATCATAATGGGTGACTTTAACACCCCACTGACACCACTGGATAGATCTAGACAAAAAAATTAACAAGGACACAGAGTCCTTAAATGACGAACTGGATCAGTTGGACTTAATTGATATTTACAGAACATTTCACCCCAAAGCTGAAGAATATACATTCTTTTCAAGTGCACATGGGACATTCCTTTTTTTTTTTTTTTTTAACACTCTCACTCTCTCACGCACTCACCCTCTCTCTGGTCCTGCCTGCCGCCATCTTTTCTCGAGGACATTTTTCTCGAGGGAGGGAGGGAGGGAGGGGGAGAGAGAGAGAGAGAGAAACATCGATGTGAAAGGGACACATTGAGTGGCTGCCTCCCACACGACCCAACCAGGGCCTGGGACAAACTGCAACCGAGGTAAGTGCCCTTAGCGGTATCCAAACCGGGGTCTCTCTGGACTGCAGGCCAACACTCTAACCGCTGAGCCAAACTAACCAGGGTGGGACATTCTTGAAGATAGACCACATGTTAGGACACAAAGTAAGTCTGTACAAATTCAAGAGGATTGAAATCATATCAAGCATCTTCTCAGATCACAATGGCATGAAAATACTCAAAAACATTCAAACACATGGAGGCTAAGTAGCATGTTATTAAACAACGAATGGGTTACCAATGAGATCAAGAAAGACATAAAAAACGTCCTGGAAACTAATGAAAATGAACACATAACAATACAAAATCTATGGGACACAGCAAAAGTAGTCCTGAGAGGGAAGTTCATAGCAATACAGGCCTACCTTAAGAAAGAAGTAACATTTCTGATAAACTATTTAACCCAGCAACTTAAAGATTTAGAAAGAGAACAAAAAGAAAAAGCCAGAGGTTATAGTAGAAGGAAAGAAATAATAAATATCAGAGCAGAAATAAATGACATAGAGACTAAAAAAAAATACAAAAGATCAATGAAACCAAGAACTGGCTCTTTGGAAAGATAAACAAGATTGATCAACCA